TTAACGAGTGTCATTGGATTTTTTTTATTTATTAAAAGGATTATTGTTAAATTTATATGTATCTTAATTAATTCTATAAGTATTAAAATTAATAGTAATATAAATTTTTAATAATTTTAAAATTTATAAAATTTAAATTGATGAGTAAATTTAAAACTTAGTAAATTAAATAATATTTATCAATGAGATATTTTAAAGGATTAGCATAAAAAGAAGTATAGTGCTAGTTGAAAAAATAAAATAAAAACCAACCCCACAAGGCCGACTTCGATGACTACTAACTTCTGCGCAATTGAAGGTAATTGATAATCCCTGTCGCTTCGCTTTAGAAAAATGCTATCCTTGATTAGATGAATTGGCTCCCAAAGAGCTAATCTACCATGTACCATGGATAGCGACAGCCTCGACAAGATTTTTATTTGGATTTTATTGAATTACGTGCAACAATTTTCATTGTTGCAGCCTTTAATCAAATATTAGATATTATCTGTACTCCCTTGGTTGCTGGCACAGAGGCAGCCATGCTTATTTCCCATGTACGGTCACTGTTTCTTCTCCGGGAAAAGAAGTTCCGGCGAGGCTAGATAAAAGAAGCCATTAGTTTAAACGGACAAAAATAAAGTCACGGTCAATGTTGCCATCATGCAAGTTCCGCCGTTGATGTCAGTCACACACGATCTTGATTGGCATCTATTTAATTTTCTCCCGTACCACTTTAAATTTGTTATCGGCATTGTTCATAATTGTCTTTGGTTTTTATTGTTTTTTATGTTGTTGAAAATTGTTGACTATAAATATGGAAAGTGACAGGGAAACCAACTCCCGTGGTTCAATCTCCATAGAGATATATAATTATCAGCAATAATTACATAATTAAAATTTTAATTATTATATCGAGATAGAAAAAAGAAGATAACTAGAACTTAAGAAGACAGAATTCATTCTAAAACCCTTATAAAAACATATTCATTCCTTAATTAAATAAGTATTTGTGTTTTATTAATTAGTCATTTCTTATTTCACAGCACCAGCCAAACCCACCTTAATATCTGATTCTTGCAAGAACAAAACTAAACGTATTTGAAACCTAACTCCTCATGTATCAATGTTTTTCACAGAGGCCAAACCAGAATTTCAATCAAGAAACCAAATTCCAGACATAATCAAGTCAAGATTCATGCTGGATAGGTTTTATTTGTCTCTCAACATTGAGATTAGAGGGTATTTTCTGCTCAATATAAATTAAAAAATTCATAATTGAAATAAACGAGTCCAAAAATATCATGGTCCCCGCGGAGACAAGGTTTATCCAGTGCTTCGTCAGCAGTGACGCATGTTGTCAGTGGGTCCACATCATGTGTTGACTTGACATGGCAGACAAAAAATGGGGCAGGCAAATCTAATAGAAAAATAAATATATCTGAGCGGGAACCGAGTGCCAGAGCAGCTGAGAGTGAAACGACACGTCTGCCATATTTTAGATCAGGACCTCGTGTTAATTCCGTGTTTGGTTTTACTATCTAAGATGATGTACGTTATGGCATAACTCGAATAGATTTTTCATGTCACGACAAACAAGTCGCCATCCTGTGTTTTTGTCATGTCCGTACTTGCAAACTCGTGTGTACTTTTACGTATGTAAGCTGCGTGCTCTGTTTCTCCACTTGATGTCTTCTGTCTTGTGGATGCGTGTACCTGCCCTCGCCGCCGAACTCTGTGGAAGCATCTAGCATCTTTACGGGTTTTGTTCAAACATAACGGGCCCATAGAAAAAATCTGGACACAAAATCAGATGGTTAAATCATTCAAAAACACTAGTGTTTGACAGGGAGACAAAAGATATTTACTGCAAGCCTTGGTGTAGCTTCTACAAGGTTCTACAATGCAACAAAAAAATAAATAAATTCGATTGTCTGGAAAACAGAAGGTTAAAATGTCACCACTTGTGTGATTTTAATGTTCAAAGATAAAGATCGGCAAAATTTATGTTTTTATTTCTAGGTATTTGTAAAAAATATTTTTGATTTTGTGCTCTGTTTCTCCACTTGATGTCTTCTGTCTTGTGGATGCGTGTACCTGCCCTCGCCGCCGAACTCTGTGGAAGCATCTAGCATCTTTACGGGTTTTGTTCAAACATAACGGGCCCATAGAAAAAATCTGGACACAAAATCAGATGGTTAAATCATTCAAAAACACTAGTGTTTGACAGGGAGACAAAAGATATTTACTGGAAGCCTTGGTGTAGCTTCTACAAGGTTCTTTAAAGCAACAAAAATAAATAAATAAATTCGATTGTCTGGATCACAGAAGGTTAAAATGTCACCATTTGTGTGATTTTAATGTTCAAAGATAAAGATCGGCAAATTTTATGTTTTTATTTCTAGGTATTTGTAAAAAATATTTTTGATTTTTAAAAATATTAAATTAATATTTGTCTACTGTTTTATTATGGTTTTGATGTGATTATATTAATAATAATAATAATAATTTTTTTTTTTGATGTATTTTTAAATTTTAGATAAAAAACTATTTAAAAAAAACATCTTATAATACAATTCTAAATATCCTGGAAATTATAGAGTAAAATGTAACTTCTTAAGGGGTATATCACGGGTAGATGAAAGAAAATCTACTCATGTCAAAATTAATAGGTGTAATTTGCGGTATTAACACATCATAATATGAAAATATTAAATAAATATTAATTTAAAATAAAATATAAAAAAATTAAATTATCTTAAAAACATTTTTAAAACATAAAAATAAACAAAATCTACTCTATTTTTGAATTTATCAAGTCCCATAAAAACTTTTTTTTTTTCAATAAGTGGATATCTTTTTAAAAGTTACAATGGATTAGATCGCATGCATGCGTTTGTTATGAATGAGATTGGTAGAATTTAGAGGCTTGTTTTCAAATTAGTTTGAAAGAAAACCAAATATGTATCAAGTTCCGGGTCAATAAATTATCGGATCGAAGTGCTAGGTAAACTGAATTTAACTTACCTTTTGCTAATAAACAATTCACTTTGCTCGTGGTTGTTTTAGGAGTGGATCATGCTGATTGATTATAACCAGCACAACCTAGTGACCTTACCAGAAGAAAGGAAGGAAGACAAAGCACAAAAGGTTGCTTTGACCGAAGTAAGTATCGGAGATGCCTAGAAAGCTCATATAAATTGATATTCTTGTAACTTCATTAACATTATTAAAATTAAAAGAAAAGCTAAGGCATAAACCCAGGGAGCTGTAGATTGGAACAGTTCCTCAAACACATAGCCTGCTGATGTGTTCTAGAGTTCTTGTTGGCTGGCTTGATTTTGTTTTTGGTCTGGCTTCGTCTAGGTTCTGTTTTTAAGTCACAAATGAAAGGTTCAAACTCAATATGATTTCAAGATGGCCGAAGGATACACTGAGTAAAAGAAGAATGGCTTCAATTTTTATTTTTATTTTGTGGTGGGTGCTGACCAGCCCAGCACATGTAAAAGCAAATGTTAATTCTTAAAGCCTGGGAAATATCTGACCTTCAAATATTTTTATCTGGGCTTGACATTTACCCAGAGAAGGATTTCTTTCCATCTGACAGAGTGAGCTTACCTTCACTTCTTCTCCATCTTGAAGCCAAAATTCAAATTTATGCTCGAACGAAAAGCCAAGACTCCAGATTACGGGTTTGATCTTCAATACTTAATCTGTAATGTCCTTTAAGGATACTAAATTTGATGAAAACGAAGATGATCACACATCTCACAGTGATTATCTCAAGGTACCGTCCGTTTCTTCAAGTTCGTGGAAGTAATTAAATATATATTTTAAATCTGATGGAGTGATGGTTGAATTTAAATATTTTTATGTCTCTCCAAAAGCTCAATTCTCGTGAATCTGATCATGAGAGATCATGACCTTTAGTTTCTCGGAACCTTATCATTCTGAATTCTTTGAAATGTCAAAACTAAAGTTTGCTTCTATTTTATGCTGTTTTTAAAGATTATATTGTGTCAAAACTAAGATTAGTTTCTTGACAGCAAACGGAAAAGTGGTTCTGAATCTGGCATTGCTCCACCTGTCGGTGCTGTGCTACCTGGTGCTGTTGTGACAGGCCTGTATCCACTCTGTACATAGGTCTTACAGTTATGTACACTGGGTTCTTATCATATAGCTAGTAATTTTCAGCTGCTGCTTTCGCTATAGTCTTGTAAATCTTTAAATGGTTATTCCCAAGGACACGCGCTTCTTTTCCTTGTATAGTTTTTATCTATTGCTTATTGCTGAAATCGTGAAGCATCAGTCTGTTGTTTGGTTGTGCTTGTCAGTTGTCATTTGGCTAAGAAAAGTTAGCTACCAGTTCTTAGTTTCCTGCTCTGTGATTATGTATCTTGTTAAGATGCTGATATTGAGCACTGCAAAATGTTTTCGTAAGAAGATTATTTGTGTTTTCTTCTCACAATCTTTGTTTCCTGCTTTAAAAACACCTTTATAAAAGCACAATTGTTTACTATTGCTTCTAGAATTCTTACCAGTATTATGAATGCATTGCAGGAAATATTCACCTCAGATAGACCAATGCTTTATGAATTGTAGGATGAACGCTATGAGGTTTTTCTGTACTGATTCCACGAAGTACGTGGTGCTATTTTGTTGCAAGTTTAGTTCATTGAGTGGAGCTTTGATGACAATTTGTTTTAAAAGCTCTACTGAATTCGAACAATACGAGTTTCTTTTTTTTTTTTTTGAAATCTTCATACATGCAGCTGCATTGCGGGCCTAACATGCTAATTATTATGAATTGGAGAGACATGATATAATATTTAGTAAGATACCTTGTTCATGGTGTTTCATGACTGGTCGCAATCAAGGTGGAGAATGTCTTATTTTGAATGTTTCTTTATACGACTCTTAACAATATTTATGGTGATTTCCTTCAAAATATTTGGAGCAAGTTAAGTTTTCTTACTTTCTCATGTTTTAAAATAGACAATCCCAGCATCCTTTAGCCATGCAATGGCTGCAATTGGATGGAATACTGCTGTTCGAGGTATTTCAGCATCTCAATGTGCTCACATGAGTAGTTGTGGACTTTTATTCCATTATGAAGCATGATCCATGTTTGAACTTGTAGGCGATGCTGTGGTGAATGTATACGAAAATCACGATGACAAAATCGCGTTTTTACAGTTGAAGGAGCAAACAAAGCAATGGTGTTAGACGGGATTGTTTAATTTTTAGGCATGCCATTGTAAATTATTTTCCTTTTCTTGTCACAAACTGCTAGAGGCTTATGATTGCATAGCTTGGATTATAGTATATTTTGCTTTTCTCTTGACGGTCGGCATATTGATTAACATTAAATGGAAAATACTTTCGGCACATCAATTTTCCACGCAACAAGATGATGCAAAGCCTTTGCTTTCTGGAGTTTTTTCCACGTTCAGGGTTGGTTGTAACTTATAATCTTGTTGATGACGAGGGAAAACGTGCTTTTAGATGATAATCAAGGCACTTCATATATCTTTTGACAACAAATAACTAATCATGAGTTAACCTGGCTTGCTATTTGGCAAGAATTAGCTTATTCACGTATCCCTGGCAAAGAAAATGGTTAGCCTGGTCTGCTTACTGCAATCCATCTTTGGCTGTATTACCAAGTCTTCACCGGGTAAACTGTTGCTGGTCTCTTACCAGGGCAAGCAATTCCTGTGGGACTGACTACACGTTGTTTTTCTCTACCGAATATCCGATTGAAGAGCAAATGCCCGGTGTTGGAAAGTACTTAATTTTCCTGTGCTGCGTCTAATTTTAACCTCAGTTCATTGAATTCAGCTTCTTGTTCTCTCATGAATACATTATCATTGCTTTCGAAAGGTTTTGTTCTATCTACTTTCTAATTTTCAACTAGTTTAATGGGAAGTAGACCAATTCTCCCTCTTGTTGATTATATGCATCATATAGTATAAAATATACAATTTTGTTAGGAGCATTCAATGCCTTTAAGTCTTGCAGGTGTTCCTAGAGTGCTCTGACACTCTGGTTGCGCAGAGGCAAGAAATCCGATAAATGGGAGTTAATGCTGTGAATGCTTCCTCTGCCATCCGACAAGTGTTACAGGGGGGTGGAGGTGCATAAGAAACGTTTTCTCTGAATGCTCTGTATCACTTAATGGCTATTGCTAAAACCAGATCATTTATGAATCCGATTGCTACTTGCCAGGCGAGGTCATGACTCGTGAGGCCGGGGGTGGATGTTTGTTTACACTTGCCAGGCGAGGTCATGACTCGTGAGGCTGGGGTGGATGTTTGTTTATGTGGTAGCTTTAACTTTTAAAATTAATTATATAAACTAAATGTTTGATAATATAAAAAAACTATTCATTGTTTGGCAGGCTCTATGATTTTTTTTCTTAAACCAGCATTTTGCATACAGCAGCTGGGAGTTGCTTATCTTGCAATTCACCTACAATGCGAGAATCTGGTATTGGTGAATTTTTTTTGACACTGTTAACATAAATAGTATTCATTGGACTTCATTCATTCGATTAGGTAAAAAAGAATTTAATTTTTTTAAAATTATATTTCATTAAAAAAAATAATATTTAATATTATATAATAACATTATATAAATTAGAAAAACATTGATGATGTAATATTTGTAGAATTTCATCACAATTTCAATTTTATTTTTGATGATATTTTACTTGATTTTGTTACATGCTCAAAAAACCATGAAAATTATAATTCTTATCATATGAATTTGATACGTAATGAAATTATAGATAAGTTAATGGAATAGTAAAAAATATTTAGTGTAAAATATTATTTATTTAATTATGTAATAATGATAGTTAAATCTACAATATTTAAATTAAAAACTATTAATATTAATATATATCTTTTTTAGTTATTTTATAACCTCAATTTGAAAAGTATGTTTAACTAAACACATTAAACTACTTTTTATTCAACCTCAATTTCAATCACAGTTTTAATAAAAAAACATATATAAATACCACATCAATCTCAGCCAAAAATACTTTTTATAAAACAATTTTTTTTAAATTATAATCACAACAGTTACCACAATATCAAACACACTTTTATGATATTACGGGCCCTAATATTTCTGATGGCCTAATATACGATTTTCTTAATTCATCGATGTAATCGCTTATTACTAAAAAAAATAAAAAAAGTTATTATTCTTGTAACAAATTCAATCCAAAAATTTAAGTTATTAGGTGAGATTCTAAGATATAATTTATATTATTTTTTAACATACTCCCTTAAATAAAAGTTCTTTATATTTGAAACTTGCACAAACTCACATTATCTTATGTTTATTTTTTATTAAATCAATAAAAATAGTGAGATTCGAACTCGTGATCGCTTAGTCATGAGGATTCTGTTACCATATTAAAAAATCAATCCAACTCAAAAGCTTAAACTGTTAGATGATGTCTCAAGATATAATTTATATTATTTTTTAATATATTTCTTCAGCTGAATGTCCTTTGGACTTAAAATTTACACAAACTTACATAATCTTGTATTTAATTTTTATTAAATAAATAAGAATAGTAAAATTTAAAATCATGATCACGCCATATCATATCAAAAAATCAATTCAACCTAAAATTTTAAATTATTAAGTAATATATTAAAATTTAATTTATATTATTTCCTATTACTTAGTTGAATAAATCTTGTTAGTACAAGTGATAGAATAGAACAACAATTAATACAGACAATAAAATAGAAATAATGCACCGAGGGTCTTGGCCTAGTGGTGGAAGGGGTTTGTCTCCTTCCACTACATCTGGGTTCGAGTCCTCATGTGCACGCCTGTTACTCCCGCGATGCCTTACATGTCTACTAGGTTTGCAGGGTGTTCAATGGGCCATGAGATTAGTCGTAGTGCGTGCAAGTTGGCCCGGACACCCATGTAAATAAAAAAAATAATAATAAAATAAAAAATAATAATAATAAAATTCAATCACTTCACATATTAATTTTTCAAAAAAAATATTAAAAAAATATCAACATAGACCCACATGATTGATAGTTGACTTCCACATAAAAATTTTAGTAACAAAAATAATAAAGTAGTTAATTGATTTAATTTTACGAGTACAGGCACTAAAACAAAAACATGCACTACAAGTATACAGAATATAAAAACTAAAAGAGTACATAAATAAAAAATTAAAAGGGAGATACATAACAATCATTAAATTTAAAAAAAAAAAAATCATCCCTAATCTTTTTTTGATTATCTTAAAGATAATTTGATTTTTTAATATCTAAATTTTCTTACTATCCTTTATGCAATCAACTGATTATATATTATTATTGGTGATGTTATTTTTATAGGAAATATATAGGATCTAATTGATTATTTTTTATTTAATTTGATATTTATAAAATAAAATAACTAAATCAATTTTTTTTTTTGAAAAATCAAAACTAAACTGAAACTTATTCAAACCAACCGATTTTTGTTCAGTTTGGTTTAGTTTTGAGGACAAAAACCTATTCAAACTAATTTGACTCGGTTTTTTGTTTGGCTAGGTTTTTTAGTTTCAGACTTATAAAACCAAAATTAAACCAAAAAAAATTTTAATTAATTTTTTTTACGATTCAGTTTTTTTTTATTTTTTTGGTATTCTCGGTTTTTTCAATTTTTTTCCTCACCTCTATTTTTATATTTGAAAATATATAGTTTAAGTCCTCGGTTCTTTTTTAATTTTAGAATCAAAATCAAACTTCATTAAGAAATTGAATTCCAAAAATTATAGGACGCCAGATCATATATTTTGGTTATGTTTGGTATGACTATTTACAAATTGATTTAAGTTTTTTTTGACATTTGATTCCAAGAAAAGTATATTTGGCTAGAAATAAATTGACTTAAAATCAAAATTTTATTACAATTTTGAGTCAGAATTCTGATTTAATCAATATTTAAAAATTTTAACTAAAAAATTTTAATTTATATAATATTCATTCTTTAAAAAAAGTTAATTAGAGTCATTTTTACTTAACATATTTCTACTTGAAATCGTTCAAACTCATTTTTATCACAAGTTATTTATACAAACAACATTTGAATTATAATATTTTGATTCTTCATGACCATTGTTTCACTAAACATTTTGTTTTTTTTTTTCCTGTAAACCTCCATTATTGGGTTTTCTTTCAGAATTCAAAATTCTAGAGTACATTTGAGATTAATAAAAATCAATAACAGGTAAAAACTAAATAATTAAAAGAAACCTAGAAAAGAAGGCAAAAACACCTTATCTTCTATCACATTTCACCTATCATTGTTTTTTATACTAATCATCTTAACTTTTTCTTTTTAATTTCATTTTTTTATATTATATTGATTAAGAATCAAATTTAATAATTTATTTTAATTTAATTTTTATAAGTTATCATGGTGTTGAAAAAAACTTCTTGATATTAGAGTGATTCTCAATTTTATAAAAACAAATTTGATGTTGTTGCTTGCAAATAATTATGAATATATGGATCAAAATTGATATTAAATGTCAAAAATCCAAATTGTTTTGCACGCTGTTCATGAGTTTTTTTAAAAAAACTTTTTTTTACTATAATATTTTTTCATTTAATTTTTAAAAATAATATATGCAAACAAACAATAAGTTATTTTTCAAAAAAACATACAAGGAAGGATAAAAAAAAATACAGATTTCTTGTTGGATGAGGCGTTAGCACCTTGCATCTCCTTGGCGCAAACTCATATCTCTTTAATCTAGACTCCTTATCTCTTTCATGTTTTTTACAAGATTTGTTTTAATCTTTATTGAAATCAACTACATATATATATATATATATATATATATAAATACTTGACATAATATTTAAATTATTACTCAAATTTTTTATGATTTTTAAATAATATTATATGTTTTTATGTGTATATTAACAAAAAACAAATTCAGTTATATTGTACTTAATATGCAGATGTAAGAAATAAAGAATTGCTCATGAAAATAAAAATTTGTTCTTTAATTTTTTTGCTGGAATTTTGACATGGTTTTATAATATTTATCAGTTTCTTCCTTCACTCACGTAGATATTATTTTAACATTTTTTTAAAACTTTCTTTTAATACAATGATAGATTTTTATTTTAAAAAATATTTACAATAAACAAAATAAATTTTTATTTTAAAAAAATATTTACAATAAACATATTTTTGCTTAAACTATAAAAAGATGCATTAATAAGAAAAATAAGTTTGGAGTAAAGAAATACATTTCTTCTTAATAATTTTATTTGCTATCTTTCTTATAAATATCTCTTTTTATAATTTTTAAATTAAATAATTTTTTCTCAAAATATACACTTTTTAAAACCGGATGTTATGAACCAAACAAGTTAATCTAATTTGAGTTAGATGTATCTAAAATATTATTGTTTTATTTTTTAATTAAAAAATATTAAATTAACATTATTTTTATTATTTCAAAAAATCAAACTAAATTTTATCCAAATTAACTAAGTTACATTATACCTTCAAGTCAGTATGTCATATTAAATTATTCTTTTTAACTTGGGATATTTAAATCAGTTTACTCGTATCATGACTAATTTCTAAATTCACTAAATATTTTATAAGTTTAATAAATAAATAAGACACTACAAAGATAAAAATATATATATAAAAAATCAGACTCGGATATCGGAGAAAGGGAACAATTCCCTCACCGCTTGGCCATATTAAATCGATTTTCATCTAGGTTCCATTTGTTTGCAGGAAAGTTATTTTTTTTTAAAGTAAATTCATGAAAAGTGAATTATTTTCTAATGTTTGGTAATGTTATGGAAAATGAACCGGAAAATAACTTATTAATGTTTTATTTTTCTCAAGTTTATTAAAATAATGAGGAACAAATTTTACAAATAAAAAAATTGAATGAGAATGAAATTGAAAAAAAAATAATCAAAATAATAAAAATCAAATCTAAAAAAAAAGAA